CTCACTCCTCTCTCCTACTCAGTTTTGACTGATAATAAATTGAACTGATTTTCCCCAAGTTGAGCGTGTTTTGCCTGTGACGGTAATTGCTGAGTGATCTGCCTGTCCTTATCTCGACCCACGAGCTTTTTCGTTATATTGTCTCTCCCCTGTCCAGTTGAGAAAGGGAGTGATAGACCAGCTTTGGTGAGCACCTGGCATCCAGGCAGCGTCAAACCACCACAACAATATGTGTGTGAGTTTGCATCTACATGCCCATGCTGAGAATTAAGCTATTTAGATCAAAATGTAAACACATGACATGGTGAATTCTTCTGTTTAGAACTACTGAAGTAACTTAAATAATATTTGGGCCTTCTGGATAAGATCTCAGATATTTGGGAGGCAGGTTGAAACCACTTGCCATACACTGACCGAATGTTTTAAAAATTAAGTAAACACATGTGAGGATTAATTCCCAGGAAGGATGGGCAACATGAAGAGACAAAATTACAGAAGCAATTGAAGCATTCCCTTTATTTTAGTCTATGCAAGACCCTAAAAGATACCTAGTTTATTTAAAAAAAAAAAAGAAAAAAAAATCAGAGACAAACCTCTTCCTGTAAATGAGAAATGACAAATTGATGATAGAAAACAGTATCAGAGATTTTTCATCAAGTGGACAAATCCTATGAAAACAAGAGGAATTCAGAATGTTGCCTACTTAAACAAAGCAAGCTCTCATTAACTGCATGTCTTCATATGTAAATGGACCCAAATTCTGACACACATTTGGTGCAACTCTAGATGAGGGAACAAGTGGGAGGTCCGATTGCCCTGTATTCCTGAGAACAAGGGCTCCAAAATTCAAGCACATGAGGCAATCCACTGAAACTATGACTGAATTGGAAATAGAAAGTAGGAGTCCTGACTTGAGATCAACTCCCTGTTCTAACCACTCCCTCAAAAACAAAGTTAGGAGAGTGCTTTCTCTCTTTGACATTAAAATTAAAATGTCAAACTATGTCAGCTCCTAGGTGGTGTGTAAAAGACTAAGATTACACAAGGTGGATTCTCGACATCCTGGTGATGACAGTAATAGTACATGTGTAGAAATGTAGCTGATCCTCTTCATTGCAGGCAAAAGCAAAAACTAAGGTAGAAAACATGCTTAATTTCTAAGCAGTGGCTCCACTAATGACAGCAGACTCCTCCTAGCCCCACTCTATGCTCAGAGCTGGCTGTGTATCAGGTAAAAGTGTGTATACACTCTTTAGAATGGCAGCATTACCATTCTAAATTACTACTGTAGCCATAACATTATCAAGAAACATTATCAAGCATTATCCTGTAATGGTACTGATCATCCTGCATTCTTTGTAGTCCTATGAAAAGTCCAGCTAAGGGGCAGTCATTTTACAGTTTATACATTATGTTTATGTATTTAAGTTTAAAGGCATAAAAACCATAAAAAATAGCACATCGTGTTTAACTGAAAGTAAGGCTTCTCAGCACCCTGAGTTAGGTACAGTCTTCCAAGATTATCCAATACTAGCACTGGACAATTTGCAGTACCCCGCAACATTCTAAAAATACTTGAAGATATTCCTAAAGCACGGATCTTTTATCTGCTTTTAAAAAGTTGTCCTCCAACAGTCAAAGTGAACATACATATGAATGAAGGGAAAAGTGTGTGTGTGTGAGAGAGACAGACAGACAGACATTATTTTAACTTTTCCCCTCAGTCAGGTAAAAAAACAAGGTAGCAAATGGAAGGCAGTAATGAAATCATAACAATAACATACTGACCCCGCTGCAATGAAGAACTCCGACTCCTGACAAGGAATGGTAGCATTGATTGGTGACCACAAAAAGGACGCACCTGATACATCCATCTATTCTCACCTTGTAAAACAGCAGAATATATCCAGTCTCCTGTCTTCCCGACGATAAAGGTCCATGCTCAGGATAGCAGGAAAAATCAGCAGAACCATAGCAAAGTTGAATACCACCACCACTGCTGCCTAGGGATCAATCACAGGAGAAGCGATGTCGTTACTAAGCTTCATGTAGGGCATCAGCTTTACAAAGCATAAAATTTCTTTTCAGTTCTCACCCATTCACCCATTTATCATGTCAACCCGTCAGATGCTTTCAAGCTTTTCCCTGAGGAAGCTGGGAGATACACTTTTACATTCCCATTTCATTATAGTAGGCCTATTGTAGTTATTTCATTTCTTTTAATAATTAACTTCATATTATTTTAATATAGCTGTGCCTGGAGATGTGGTGATGATTTTTTAAGTGGAAAAACAGAGTCAACAAATCATACTTTTGCATGAGATTCTGCCATAGAGTCTCACAGTAAAAAAATACGGAAGCAAAAGCAAACCTGGAACTAGAACTGAAGTTCTCACATTTAAGGGATCTGAAGTAATTTAACCATCACAATAACATTAAAGCACATTATGAAATCAGAAATGAAATGGAAGATTTAAGTAAGTTTTAATGAAACTGTTCTATTTAGTAAAATATTATGCACTTGATGTACTTAAAAGTCTAGCCAAAAAGAGCAACATTTTGGGTTTATCAGGGATTACTTTTAAAGGAGAACCAAAATTATCCAACACCACATAGTAAATCTACACATTAATATGCTTGTGTTTAACAGATCTTGATTAATGAGCCAGTCTACCAAAACGAGTCCTAAATTGGAACAAGAATACATCTTAAATTGGAACAAGAATACTTGGTTTAATTTGTAAGGCGAACGTTATGTAATGAAAAAACCAACCTCCCCGCCCACCCCCTTTCAAACCGTACTTTAAACCCTTTCCCACACAGAGATTCCCAGAGAATCTCCATAAACATATGTGGTGCAGCATCTATCATTATTATTAATAGCATTTATTTGTAATGCAGAATTGTTAGGAGGACTAGTCATCACAAAGGGAAAGCCTGGGCACAGATGGGACTGGAAGATAGTTATATCTATCTATAGAGTAGGAGAGACACTGGGGAAAAAAAAGTTTGAGCCATCAACAGGTGAAAAAAACCCTTGAAATCCTTGTATTTTACCCATTAGATAAGCAGTAGCTGTCTCAGTAGTAGCCCAGTTTCATGTTAAGGAAATCATATAAACTGCCAAGCACCTCCATCTGTAACTTCTGAAGTAACAACTGCTTGTGTTAAAACAGTCATTAAAAAAAGAACAAAAGTTGGGCTACAAAAATGAAGTCACTGACCTGGTATAAACAGGCCCTCCCTTTTCCAAAATAAATGAGTGGCTGCTTTTGATGTTGAAAAATCAGGCCTCAAAACTGGCAGCTCAAAAAATGTGATATCCAAAATCCATGTTTTAAAAGTTCTTGACTTACGTGTCAAATAAATAATATAAATTGCCTAAATAATGCAGTTTTTATTTTTGTGTGTCTCTATCTGTGAAAATCAAAGTACTAACATATTGAATGATTTTTAGGGTTTTGAAGCTGTCAAAGTATAATAAAAAGACTAGATACTGGTTTTACTTTTCTGAGAGTGACAGAATCAACTAGTTATGCAAACATTTTCTAGTCATTTCAATCATAAATATATTGTATACAAAAGTGGGTTTTATTGGTGTTTCTCTTTTGTTGTCGCCAGCCTGCCTGAAGTAAGATTTTGGTCCTGCTAGTTCTCTGTAGACATAACTACTAGAACAGAATTTACCCAGTACTTAAAGCCAAATTACTATCTAACCATCATTGAGAGAAAAGATCCAATGACAACTTCATGATTTATAAATATCCACACAGAAAGGTATGTAAGGTCACAGCCAAGACATTAAAATTAAGTGATTTCCTTTTGATCCTCTCTAGAATTAATTGAGATCTGTCACAGAAACAAATGGCTGCTGTTGCAAGCAAGGTGTTTGTTGGACCTAGTTCATACAACTCTTTCTTTATTGCTGCTAAACCATAGAAGGTTGAATCACCCATATTAACGTGAATAATTAGTTGTGTCTAACCAAGATCTTCTATCAAGGATTAGCTAAGGTTTATTGAGATTTGGAAAAAACAGCTGAGGCCTGACTCAATAATTCTGACTCCTCCCAGCATGGCTGAAAAACTAACTTAAGTCCTCTGTTCCTGCTCCATAAACTGCAAATACTTCACACCTTATCAGCTCCCTTTGTAGATCCCAACATCCTTGAACCTCAAATGTCGCTCAACCTGAAACTAATACTTAAGTGTATGGTAGAGATTCCATTAAATTTATATTCACACTTGATTTTATATGAAGCATCAAAACTAATCCAACAACACATAGTAAATCTGCCTATTAACATGGTCTCTCTTTTTAGAACTAAATTTTCCATTGTGCCATCCTGGTGTTGATGTACTAACCCTGCAAGTACAATAATTTTAAACAATCCTGTCTGTTCTGATTTGTACTTAAATAGATTCCTAGAGGTTAACACCACACTTCCTACATATTGCACACTGCCTCTCCGCCACCCACCTCCCCAGCATTTCAAGGATGTAACGGTTCTCAGTTTTCACAATTAAATACAGAAAATATTGTTCTTGCATCAATTCTGGTTTGTTGTACCGTCAAAAAACACCCCACGACTTGATAAGGAGAGAGAAGGGAGAACTGTTGAGGTCTGACTCAATCTCCGCCCTGATGCATCAGCCCCCGCTTCCCCTCCCAACACCATTCAGACATCTGCTGTCTGGGAATGGGAACATATGAGAAATGTGATCATGGCAATACCCACAATCTGTAACAATTACATTGATTGGAAAAGCACGAACAAAAAACCGTGGTGGTAGCAGAACTTCCAGATACAGGCAATCTGTTAGCAGCACCCAAGCTGACAGCACGCTTAGGATTTTTGGGGAGAGGGCATCTCTCACCCCTTCAGAGATGAATGGTCAAATGGCTGAGGACGGGGCCTCAGACCTCTTCCTTGTGAAATCAACAAATGTAAGATTAGTCCTAGAAGGGATAAAATGGGGCCTACTCAAGAGTGTGAAATGAAGGCATTCAGTGAAATGAGATCAGAGAGCGGAAGAAAAATTCCATTAATCAGAAAAAAATGTTGGTCACTTTCTGAGAAAAATGCCCCGCTTTTCTGCATCTTTTCATAAATGCAGAGCCTAAAAATATTATTGCTGCTGCAACTGTTACCAGAGACAGAAGAATGGCAGTCTGTGCTGGAGGCAGCAATTTTTTGGAAGCGAGGGTGGTAGGCTGTGGCCCCGCCGAAGGTATGCGCTGCTATGTGCCATTCCTGGCAGCCCACCCAAGGAGAACGGGTGTGCTGCATAGCCAGAGGTGATGAACAGACGAGGAGGTCTGTCAGGGAAACTTCCACCCTACCGCTGCCTATCTGCAACTCCCTCCTGACAGCGCACAGGCTTGGATCTCCCCCTGGCCCTCCCCTTTCCCCCTTAGGCTTTAAATTTCCTTGTTAAATTCTCATGTCAGGAGCAGGGAAAAGGTAAATGACGAGGGTAAAAGGAGCGGACAAACCACTTCAGCAGAGTAAGATAATGGAATGAGCTTAAAAACTTAGGTCCTTTCTCTCCACAAACCTACCACCACCACCTGGTAATGCACTTTTACATTTAGGAAAAAAACTTGTCATTCTTACTGTAAGGGAAAAAGTTACCGCTAAGACTTACTGGGAAAAGTTCCACCCCTGCTCATTAGTGAATCCACACCACTCCTCTGCTGTTAGGGGAGGAAGTTTCTGGTGTAAGCAAGAAGAGATAGATGAATTTTTGTGAAGCTGGGCAGAATTTAATCCATAATGGTGTCCGAATAGTCTGTCTGAGGAAAGAATTCAGCCCGGCAGTAGTTACACTCTGCCTTGCCTGCCTTCATTTATACTCAAAACACAGGGCTATGCTTAAGACATTCCTACTGCAAACTTCAAAAACTTTCAGTGGATTTCTCTGATAACCTCCATCACAATTTTAAGAAATGGAACACATCTGAAAACTCAGGACCTACTCCTTCAAAGTCCTGAGCACTCATACAGGTGATTCTTGCGACTGAGTATTTGGAACATGTTCAGCCTCTCAAAGCCCTAAAACTGCTTAAATAAGGGACTAATAAGATGAACAAATGAAAAAAGTTAACACAGTGAAAGAGCTAAAGCAGTCCCTATCTGCATAATACAATTTATTTTTAAAATCTCACTTTCAAAAGGACTGATTTCCATTTTTTAAAACTCGGCAAGAACTAACCCTAGCAAATTCCTAAGACAGCATCCGACTTGCAGTGTTTGAGTTCCATAAAGTAAATGAACAACTCAGAGGTACCAATGAACTGCTTTAGCTGGCAGAACAGAACAGAAGCAGAGAAAGAAGAAAACATTGATATGCAAAACGTGAGCTTCTAACTAAAAGTTGGGCTTGCAGATGCAGGAAACCATGTATTCTCCCTCAGCAGCTGAGCTATTTTACAGATACTGGGCCTCAAAAGTTATGGGAACTTTGACAATTATCTTGCAATGTCTTAAGAAAAGTGAATGAAGAGAAAAACAAGGTCAAGAGCAATCCTTTTTTTAAGCTCATCTGTTAAAAATTCACTGTCTAGATGAGAAGAAGGCAGCATCTGTGAAAAGTAAATGCACTATTTCATTGCCTTCTAAGTCTTGCTAGGAAGCTATCAAAGACTGCAAGGACTTCTTGTTTAAACAAGCCTGAGTAAGAGGAGGAGGGAGGAAGAAGACTGTAAATAAAGAAATCCATATATAAATATAGACCACCCACCAAAATCTGCCATGGTTATCTGATTCTGAATGTTGTGATTAATGTATTGCCTGATTTTGATTTTACCTGGTAAAGCTAAGCAAAGCAAGTAATAGATGTTCCTTTCCAACAACAAAGGATGTTATTTTAATGGTTTCTAACTTACATACATATCAGTTAAATATATTGCTCTAGCACCAATAAATCTTCATTACAGGTCTCCAGCTGCCCTTTTTTTGCACGTTTTTCCATCTCTTATATACATATAAGGGGTTACTATGTGCAAGCAAAGACAAATTACAGATGCATGTGAGAAAAGATTGAGCAACTCAAACATTAATTTCTGGACACCCAAACATTCCTACACATAAGTTCCATATTAATCACTGCCTTAAAAAGGACTTTGATCGTGATGTTTTTATTCTGAATAATATCAACATGTTCATACATGAATATGTTGAAATCTCACTGGAAACTTTTTGTTTGTCATTTTGCTATGCAGACTTCATTTTCTGAACTTTCAGTGACTCAGTCTACAGCATGGCAGCAGGCAAAAGGAAAGACTTTAGGAAAGATATATTTAAGCTTTACAGTAACAATTACAGATTACAGTAACAATTACAGCTGTTTTCTCTAAATATGTTCCAAAGGCAACCTTGTCACGTTCTGATGTGAAGAGTGTGAAGAGCAAGAACAGAGGAAGGCTGAGCAAAATTTGATCAGATAAGGAAGAACTAATTTTGGTGGCTCCCACGCAACAGCTTAGGCGTGTCATTAGGACAGAATGACCCATCTCTGTTGAGTACTTCTTATGAGACGCGTTTAGGCTGAAGTAACTTCTGTAAAGCACAGGTACTGCAAACCCTGACAAAACAAGCCTTCTCCTCTGATTCCTAGTGAAGATGGCCAGTATCCTGTTAGCTGCTTAAGGCTGAATGTTTGAAATCGGGCCACAGATTTAGGAGACATAAATAACTTCTTCCAGTCAAAGAAGTGTTACATTTCAAAAAATATTTCACACATTGACACGCTGACATATTTTGCCATAAAATAGAACAATTTTCTGTCCCGTCACCTGTAAGAAGAGACATCTAGGTTTTGGCAAATCAGCAGAGCTAAATACTGCTAACCATTCAGGACTAAGGATCTAGTTTCATTTGCCACAGACATCTGCTAAACAATCCGGAAAACCAGGGAGGCCTTTACTTTCTCTATTATTGACCACTGAATTGCCTATTTAGAACGACATGGTAAACAAATTATTAACACTTACTAGTAAGGTAACTGCAATCACAACAGTTTACCATTTTACACCTTAATGCAGGCATACTTAAATCTCTGAAAACAGAAATAATTGCCACATGTATTATGAAAAACTGCAGCCGTTGCTTCCTCTGGGTAGCCAAGGCTTCAAGGAGAATGAAAAATGATTGACAAATGAGGCTACAGCAGAAGAAAAGTAACTACTGAAAAAGTACAGTTTGCCTGCTCTGCACCAAGGTCACCCAGTGCTATAAATTGCTTGTGTATTAAAGCAGTGTCAGAGGAGAAATTCCCAAAGCCTTCTTCAGAGAGCCCTTACTTTTAGAAGAAAGCTTTCTCCAGCATCCTTAATATTTCCTATTCCTGAAGGTATACTATCACAAACAAATACAAGAAGACAAAGAGAGAAGGAGAGAGCGAGCGATACATGGTTCAGCACATAAAATTCACATTTTCTCTCAAAGCAGTTGGAACGTAAAACTCTTGAAGTTTTCTCCAAGTTTGCTAAAATTACATTGGGTGCAAGGCAGTACAAACTGCTGCAGTAATAATTAATATAGCAAATGCACATTCGCTGCTGTCATTGCACTTTGGTTACAGTTTTTAAGAGCAGCAAACTGGACAAACGTGAATGAAAGGATTAAATTCCTACTGAGGAATGTTACAGTACACACTACAGTATAGTCTACTCCTCTTGACTTAAGAACACAAATCTTTCTGGAGACTTGTTTCTCCTTAGTTGCATACACCTTGGTTTTTGCACTCAACCCAGCTGTGATGGGGCAGGGTATTCTTTCGCCTGCTGACAGGATGCGAGACTCCAGGCATGAGAAATCAGAGGAGCAGAGTCAAGGGCAGACAGCAGTTGTTATTACCCAAATCTATGGTAACAGTGATCGCAAACTGGTTCAGTGAACTGCAGCAGCACTGAACGCAGATGTTAACACTACCACTAACAGGTATCATCACTGGCCTTCCATGATGGGACCATGCATAAGAGCTAACAAAATAGCATATAAACTTACTTGGAGTGAAAATGCTCGTAAAGCAGGAATAGGGATTAAGGCAGCCATAAAGAAAGCAGTAACATTGCTGATAGATGTAAGGGCTACACTTGCTCCTGTTCGCTTCAAACATTCACCTGTTCTGTCCTGCAAAACAAATGACGTATCTTAAAAGTCAAATGAATAAGGTGATGTCCTGCAAACAAAGGGGTCATCCTACAGATATTACACAGTAACAGTGAAAAATTATTACAATGAAATTCCGAGTACAAGTGTGCATTTGAAAGTATGTGAGAATAAACAATATACTAAGTATACTGTTCAGGAGAAAAGCAGACGACACATGAAGTGCTCATGTTTTTTGCAGGTAGAAAACATTACCAAAGCTGATTCTAGCTTCAGAACACAAAACTAAGTGGGTACTGACATTATATTAAATACATCTGTAATTAAGTAGGATGTATTTCCTACCAGTGGAGTCACTTGGTGTTCTCATTTTTCAGACAAAATAAGCATGTATTAAAAGCATAGAGGCATAACATAGCTACACATCTTGAAGAAGTATGTAACAAAACAATAAAACAACCCAAAACCCAGGGACCACACACAAAAACCACAAAGAAATCAAGATAAGCACATGACCTTTTCCCAACCCAACAGGATATTTTGAAGCATATGGAGGTTATAGTAGAGTGGTTGTAGTGCCTGCATGCCAAACCAGCTGGAAAGAGCACATGGAAGACATTGCTTGTACAAAACAGAATGGGCAAATACATGTTGCTTTTAAATGGTTTGTACCTTGGATATGAAACTTTGGACTGAGGGTAAAAAGGTCAATAAAAGCGAAGGATCACAAAAGTGACGACATCTGAGATTTCATAACATTGATACGTTATTCTTTGAAATGTCATGGTCAATGATAAACATCAGAAAAGAAAAACAGAAAAATATACAAAGTAACTCAAATTTAAGTCCATCACAAGTAGGTAAAGGTAACAGTTGATACAAATAAATAAATGTTTGTTTTCTAAGCTGTCCTCCTTCTTTCTTTTCACCTTAACATCTCTGTGTTCTTCCATTAAAAGCATTCTATCATTTAACTGTCAGGCTCATATTTCAGTTTGTTCCTAAATTTACAATTTTTGCTGAAATTTTGGCAGAATTTGGATTACGTAAATTAGGCTTCATGTGAAGCTATAAATTAAATTTCCAAGACAAAATAAATCCAAAACACTATTAAAAAAAAAAAGAAAAAAAGAATGTGAACATTCAAAAAAATTCTAGGATGACATGCATTTCCACCATTTCCTATTTTGACAGACATAAGAATTTCGAGACCCTAGAAAAAGCTTTTGAGAAAAAAACTGGGTTTTTTTAATCACTACTAATTAATTCTGGATACAGTTATCATTTCCTATATGAAGCCTTTTGTTTTATCTTCCCTCAAATCCCCATTTTGTTATTACCTCGAATGGAATTCTCTTATTCTGCCCTGTTTCGCTAAATGCATGTGCCAGAAGGAAAACATCATCTACACCAACTCCAAGAGCAAGAAAAGGCAAAACCTTGGGGGAGAAACAAAACAAACAAAAACCAAGAAGGTTGTTTTATGATCTGCCATGCAGCTAGCCATTAAATGGCTAATTAAAGCAACTTTTACATTACACTGTACACAAATCCAAGGGTAAAATGCAAATTAAAAGGATGCAATACAGCTATTAACTTTTGTTCTGGAATACTGCTGAGGAACTTGCAGTATACCATTTACAGGTACAAAATCTCACTAAAAGTAATTCAAGTTTTGGGTAGACAAAGAGTATCTGATAATAATCCAAGTTATATTCAAAATAATTTCAGAATTTGAACATCCTGATATATTCAGATGTAAAGACAAAATCTGCAGCTTCTAATGTACAACTGGATGCCTCCACCCATACTGGGACACAGAAAAATCAAATAACCCAGAATCTAGTAATCATACAAACTACACGATACCTGCTTTTTTCTTTAATATCATTTGGCAGGATGATCACTTAATTTCTCACAGCATAAGCTATGAGATAGGAGAAAGGCACAAGTAAAAATCTAGAGCCAAAATAATTTTGCACTTTTTTTCCCCCCTCACAGATTCAGTTGTGTTCATTTCCTAACAGAGTACTTGTAATTTAACAGCAGACTTCTGTCTCCTAAATACCTGAGTTGTGGCAGCATTAAAGGAAATTCCAATCAATGAGCACAGGCCCAATCCTGCAGCCACTGAGAGTGCAACCAACAAGACTCCTGCCAGCCCCACGGCACCCTGAGACTTGGCACAGTCCCACCGCAGCATTGTTAAACAGGCGTAGGCAAGCTAAAGCAAGGGGAGGGGGGAGGAGAAGGAGTTGGGGGAAAAAAAGCAAAATATTAGAATGGATCCTTCTCTAACAGCTATCTCTCCCCACCCAAAATACAAATCCTTAAAAACATTTTTAAACAGAACAGACACATCACAGATGTTACACAGAGGAACAGGTGACAAGCCTGAGGCAAAAGTTTACAAACGGTAGTTTTTATTTCGAATATACCTAAAATGTTCTGGACTACTGACTGGTAACGATAAAGCAGATATTTAAGCCCTGCTCTACTACCAGAGATAATGAAATAAATTTATTTTATTACCATTAGTAAGTAGCCACTAGCTACTCTGATAACACTGACATCAGAAAATGACTTTAGGATGTCATCCAGGGTGGTTGTAGTAAAGGAAAGCACCTTCTGAGTAGAGTTTTGTGCGACACTTTGATGAACAACCTGTGAAAAGAAAAATAAAACTCGGGTGTGACTAAAAAAAAATTCATTACCACCTTCTACAGCACACATCTGAAATCAACTACTTTTGCCTTAATGTTCCTGCAAAAGCCCACACCCTACACAGAGATGATGCTGATGCTATGCAGATGTGTTTGGCAATTATTTCTTGCAAGCTACTGACTATGAGACAAGAATTTGCATCCTTCAGGAAAGCCTACTGCATTCCCAGCCCATTCCAAACGTTTAACTTGAATCCTCTTCCCATAACTCCACCATGGATTTGCTGCAGTGCGAGTTTTGCCTTTAACCCAAGGCCAGCAATCTCTTTGGGCCGTTCCTCTTTCCCCCCTGCCTGGCCATTGGCAGAGGTCAGAAGCAGCGCAGCAGAGGTCAGAGCTTGGGACACAGAGGCCAGGCACTGTCACACAGCCTCCCTGCCCGGGCTGCCACTGGGAGAGCAGCCCATGGCTGGCTAATGTTTTCCAGACACCTTTAGAATAACCAAACCACCAAAAACTTTTAAATTCCAGCTAGCTCTTTGGTTCCTTCTCAGCCCCAGCAAAGCAAAAATGCACTAGACAGCAAAGAGCAAAACCTTCATGGCTTCATGGGGGAGGGCAGGAAACAAACCAAAAACCCACAGCTTAAAAACTGGGAGGCAACGACTCAGTTCTGGTCTAGCATCTTCTTGAAGAAATACTGTAAAAACCTGTGACAGAAGGCAGTGGATCTCACAGCATGATATCTAGGTTATTTTCAATTTTACCTCAACATACATCCTCTGCCAGGCTTCCAGAATTGCTGCTGCCTTATCCTCATTCCAGTTGATATGTGAAACATATTCATACCCCTTGAAGTGCTCATACATTTGCTTAGGAGTCATTAACTGAAACATGGTTTGCAAAGCTTGGGCACTGTGACATGGAGAGAAGGGAGAGGAGGAAGAAGCACAAAATGAGCATTTTCAGGAAATTATTTTCATGGCATCAAGTCCCAAATAAGACCCTGATGGGAGCTGGCATGAGCTCTTGATTTTATAGGGCACATGTTCATATTAAAATTGAACAGAGTAGAATTATTCTACTGTGTATTTGGTGCAGCTGTAGTGGTCTACGCAGTATTGAGGCTAAATCTGGTTTCACTGAAGTTAATTAGAGTTTTGCCATTATTTTCAATAGGATCAGTTTCAGGAGCAAAGAATGTAACCCTACAAATCAGTTATAAAGATCATGATTGATAGACAGATTACTGTGAGGATGCCACAGAACAGTTATTTCTGCGAGACCTTGTAAATGCTATTGGTGATTTGTCATTTGAAGACCTTGGTCTTTTTCATCCCTTGGAGAGAAACACCAAATTAAACTCCTGGTGCCTGACAAGCTGCAAGGAGTACACAATGGCAGTAACTATCCATCCTGAACTTCCACAGTATGCAACTGTATCCAACAATTTTAGAAGCTTAAGGAACTATTTTATTTTTCACTAAAAATATATTCTTTGGCTACTTGTTGAAAGACTTACCAATGTTTAGTGTGAATATAAAAAAGGCCAAAATTCATATTAAAAGTTCCAGTAAAAGTTCTCTGTATTAAATATGAAAGCATTATGCTTTACTTAGTTTAGTATGGCCTACATTTTTCAGAACAGTTCTATTTCACATGTTTTTCCCCCATTTAAGTCCAGTGTTCCATGACTTCTTCAAGAAGTCTGAAACAAAGGGGTTTGTTTTATCACTCAAAACTGTATTAAAGATGTAGGGACATAAAAATAGACTTTTCTCTGTATTATCTTGAACAAACAGTTCAGTGGAGATTCTGGAATTCTGAGAGAAGTCAAATGAGTGAGCACAATATCAAAATTATTTTTCCCCCTTTTTCCTTTGATCATATTTCAAAACATGATCAAAGGTGTTCAGTGCTTTATAACACAGTTCAATGCTTTATACATACATTCTAAACAACAAAGTTGCCAGGAAAAAGCTTTCTGAGTGACATCCACTATCATTCTGAGGTTAGAAGCAAGAAGAAATGATGCCTCTTTAAATTTAAACAATTGTCTAATCACTCTTTTAAATTCCCTTCTCTTGAGGCATCTCTTCCTAAACTAGGATTCATAATACACATGAAGGGCAGTAGATTTTGCACGGTCTTCCCCCCATGCCCCAAAACCCAAACTCTAACAAAGAAAAATTTTGAAATTTGCTTTAAACAGTTGTTTACCTGACAAGTTTGCCAGAACTGTTCTTGACTGTACCACCTATAATCAACTCCTCCTGCCAATGCATATATTTTCTTGACAGTCCATAGCATCCACCACTCAAAACAAGGGCTATATCAAGAGGCTAGAAAAAGTTATAAAGAAGCAATTAATCAGTTTTATAACTTTAGACAAACTCATACCATAATTCAACACCCAGTGTACTAGAATAACAGATATTAAAGACAATCTAGGAGGTCTATAAAGAGAAATGTCTTCAACAAATGAAGTTGAACAAATCAGCCAGATACTTGTTGACCAGATGGCAGTTTCTCCAAAGCCTGATAAAGGGTTATATAAAATTGGGGCCCATGACTTCAAATTCTTCCCAAAAATCAACAGAACTGGTGCTACTTGAAGTAAGGCTTTGCTGCGTGGTGTGAGTGTATAGCAGCAGCTCTATTCTAACAGTGGCTATGTCTGAGGCATCAGGTTTGCTGAAATGCCACATCACCACGCTGCCACACCCAGCCAGTAGCTGACAACTGTACTCTCACTCTAAACACGTGCGATTAAGCACTGCATCACAGAACGAGGGGAAGTTTGTGACTGTGGGCTAACAGCATACAGCATATAACGGGAACAGAAAAATGACATCACTCAAGAATACAAACTATGCATCGCTTGGAAGAAAATGGTACCTTCTTCTCTCCTCTCTGACCTCCCCCCCACCCTGGCCTCCCTTGAAAAGATATGCACAAAGACAAGCAAACTTACTTTGGTGGAATTTTTATTGGGAGCTGTGATTGGGCAATCAGGATCAGCAGGATTCAGGCAGGGTCGATCCATATAACCATGACCAACCTCCGCTTTATTCAGCATTTCTTCCCAGCTCTCCACTTGGTAGTTTATTTTCTTTAACTCTTCCAAGAATTCTAAGGGGTCAAAGTTGATCCACTGCAAAGGAGGCTTCCCTCTGCAAGAGAAACCAGGAGAAAATGACACACACAAAGAAGACAAAAGAAGTACTGAAATAAACATGCTTTTAAAATTCATATTTGTCCAAATAATTGAGTTATTTTCTGTTACAAGTTAAACCCTTTTCTGGTAAGGTTGTTTCATAAAATGTAAGGCGTGTTTTAATTAGACTTGTTAATGTGCAGCCCAGTTGTAATTTTAACAAAAATACTCAGTTCTTACAAAGTTACTGTATAAAACGGAATTTTCACAGGTTAAAAAGTACTTCCATTTACAAGCAGAGCAAAACAAATCATCAAGCACCTAAGTAACAAAAAAGCAGCCAACTGCTGCTTCAAAGAAGTAGGGGAGGAGGGGAGAGGGAAAGAAGAGAGGGGGCTGAGGAAAGAAAGCCTTTCTCATAGTATCAGATTACTTCTTGCTAGTCTAATAATCATCTTGCAAATGTAATCAATCAATATAGCTGATTGTTGTTTATCTATAACAATATTGCACTCCTTCAAATACCCTGGCAGCTTGACTATCAACCATCAAGCTTTCCTGCTACCATGACTGTCACCACTATCACTGTCACGTCTCCCACCCCCCACTTCTGAATTTGTGATGTTGCCAGACTAGAAAGGCTTTTGGCTGCCTTATTCTGTGGTTCAAACCACACTGTATCTGCTTAACCAGGCTTAAGTCATTATTCCGAATCTCCCAACCAGAAAACACAAACCCCCTTATTTCCCCATCTAAAACTGTACACTAAAGGTTAGGAGATGGCCATTGCAAATTGCTTTTACAGAGACGCGCAAACCAGGACAGAAACAATAACTCAAATGCTAACTCTTGCATAATTAACAGAAAATGCCTGCACAGATTAACAATTAACTCTTTAAAGGATTCAGGGCATATAATATCACACTTGTAAACTGTGAGAAACCACCCATAAAAGATACTATATGGTTCCTCTAATGATCTCATAAGCAAAGGATTTGTTCTTTATTGCTTAGGAAGACTTGAGATTTAACCCAAGACATCTTCTTAGGAATAAAGTTCCCAGCCAATCAACGTTTTTGTATTTTATGGAAAAAAACCAAACCACCAGAAACAAGTTTATTTCAGGGAAAAAAAAGGCATTAAATTTTTAAAGCTTGAATTCAGAACTTACATTTTATTTTGCATGCTAGTAGAGTAAGAAAAATAACATAGGATTTAAATAGATGCCTAGAAATCATCTTTTAGAAACAGGAAAATGTTTGTTCAATGAAAAAAAAAAAAATCCATGCATATTTTCTGTGGAGACACTCCACTTTCTCTTTTATTTTTCTGTTAAACCAGAATCTGAATAAACAATGGGAATGCAACTGAAAAATCATACACAGCTATACAATTACAGTCAGTCAGACCAGAAAGTTATAAAAACCCATGCTTACAATAGATAGGCAGTTCCTGACTGTAGCTTTGCTCCCTCCCAGAAGCAGTCCAAAGGAGTGATAATTAAGCAAGGATAAAGATATTCTATGATCTGTCAAAATCAGAAAGGGGAAAAACACAGTTATACTAGAATATCATCAAAGCAGCACAAGCTGAATCATGAGAATATACAGATCTTATAACTAAATGCCTGCTACACATACCTGGTCCATGTAACCTGCTTCTGTGATGAGTTCTCCTGATTTATAACACAAATGTTCCAATTTCCACTGTCTGTAAGAAACATAAAAAATGATTTTTTTTTCTTGCACAATTACTGAAAGTAATTGTAAAGTGTAACAGATTTAAAATTGCAACTCATAGACACATATTGGCCTCAAGCAGCAAATCACTGAGAAAGGCAAATATTATTCAGCATAGATACACTACACCTCACGAAAAAAGCAAAGGCCTTTCTTTTTGTAGTTACAGACTAGATGCTTGTTTCAGTTATTCTCACATTCTCTGTAAAACTCATTAGAAATAATGGAGCTGCTTTTGGATGAACAGGCTAGTCAACACACGTTAAAGGGAGAGAAACCCATCTTTCTATAAATGAGACCACTTGTGACTTAAGGTATCACCCAGTGACACAAGCGAGAGAGAAGCCAGCTCCAGCTCAGAGGACTAGAATATTCCCAGCTGACGCACACATGCAGAAGAAAAGAAACCATTACGACTTCTGCCTTCCTTTTTCAGCTCTGTTACAACTTCCACTGCCATGACTTCGAACGCCTTAGACAAGGCAGGAGCTGGGTAGAAGGTAATCGGAGCCTCGGCGTTAGTTCACTGAAGCATCAGTTGGATGTGCTGAAAAGATGTGCTGAAAGACAGGGGGCTTCATGCCTTGCAGGCAGCACCCCCAGGCACATCACCATGCAAGCAGTAACCCTGGAGGAACCACTTTTCAGGGAGACATCTCACTAGCCCAAAGCTGGTACCTTCCTAAGGTGCACCTTTATCATTTTTTTGTTGGACAGCACACAACTCCCAGCCTTCAGTATGTGCACACAGACACTCTGAAGGCCAACTCTGTCTACATTATTAAACAGCTCTTATTCCACCCACTGCCATTTCTCACGCATCTGCATTTCCCTTTATATCCAAACTATTGGAAGGATAGTAACCTGTGCCGCTGTTCACAGTCATGTACCTCCTGATGGTGTCAGCAAGTGAATTCAACTCTAATATGGAAGGATTTTCAATGTTAGGGATCCCATCCATAAGGTCCTGTGTTTAAGAGCACAGACATCACTCCTTTACCAAGACAAATGCTGGATATTGTAGCACTGCTCATAGGGGTACACATTCAGAATCTCTTCCAACAGCACTTACCCCATCTGATGTGTTAAAAGCCAACTGGTCACTGTCATGCCACAACATGAAGTACCAGAAACCAGTGACATTCAAATCAAAACACAGTCCTAAGGGAAAGCCTATGAAGTGCTAACCATTTAAAAATACATGGAGGGAAGCATGTGCCCACTTTTTAGCTGTTACAGATGATGAAGAAAACTTCTGCTTCTTCCCTTACCTGTTGTACATATAGACATGTACTCTGCTGGCCTGAAGCGCAGAGTCAAGGTGCTGTCGGAGTGCTTCTGTTGTTAGTACATTAGCACCATCTTCCTGTGGAGTCTGGATCATGAGCTGGGGGTTAAACATGGCCTCTTCTCCAATCTTCTGCCGTGTGTAATTTAACTCCCGACTCACTCGTCCACCAACTGATGGATAAATATCAACAGCTTTGTATTAGCCAGTAACTGCTTATTCTGGGTTCACTTGATGAGCGCTCTCCAGTCAGAAAAACTTGACCATGTGCATGACTATTCTGTCTCAAACTGATCACAGTATAACTCTAAAACTAATTATTTTAGTAACACTGCAACAAAAAAACCACACTCCTCATTAAAATACCATTGCCTCTGCTGCACTAAAACATTGATGCGTAAACTGGAACCTCAAACAGTTTTTTCTACATTATAACCAATCTCCCATATGTAAAAATTAAAAAAAAGAAAGAAAAAAGAAAAACCTTTTCCTTGCAGACCAGACCAAATACTACATTACAATTTTTTACACTTGTATAAACAGTCTACTCCAATAGCACGTTTCAAGATAAATGGCTTTAATTTACACTCTTCTCCTAAATGATTTGGCAAAGGCAGAAGGAGAATGTTTCTCTTAAGTTAAAAAAAGGAAGGAGCAAAAGAATAAGTGAGCATGAGTACTTCTTTCAGCCCTAAATAAAAAAGAAAAAAAATAGTAAGTTCACATAAAGAGATGCAGTTTTGAGTATAGCAGAAAGGACTGTCTACAGCTAATTTACCCCAGTGGTCCAGTACCTGCATAACATGCTGTGAGGCAGGAGATCATTCATGTGCAACATCTGTTTTTAAACCCACATGAGCTGAACAGTGTGCTCCACATTAAAACGTGGTGGAGAAAAAAAAAAAAAAAAAAAAAGAAGAAAAAGGCAGAGGGAGACTGCAAAGTCAACAGGCTCTAGAGGGAGCCATATTCAATTTGCCTTGCCAGAAAACACTACATCAGAATGGAAAATTATCTTCCCTCTTACAAAAAAGCATTCAGCGAGAGTTCATATACTTTATATAACCTCCCCTGTAGCCTCTCTAGCAAATGCATGTGGGAGGCGGGGTCAATTAATTCAGGCCATTAGCTGAATCAATACCACATCCAGATGAGGAGGACAAGAATAACCACCAACATGTTGTTTCCATCCCTTACAATTTATTACCTTTATTGCTCTGCAAAGTCCAAGCTACAGACAGACCTGGTCTAATTTGTTACATTTTTTTCAGTCCTAATCAGCTTGGCACTGGTGATCTGAATTACTGCCAAAGTTTAGGTCTGCAACAGTGTGAACAGAAATTAGGCATGTACATCTCTCTCTTCCTAGGCCGTGTAACAGAAGACTGATCTGTAACCAGTTGGTGGTGTGGGAGATAACATTCCCAAGCCTGAACAGGGACATACTTTTTCAATCACTTGGGCCTCTAACCCACCCATAACCCTCCTGGGGCTAAAAGGACCACCAGGCAAGGAGCTGAGCCCCTGCATGGATGAAGCAGTCGGAATGACACCCTCAACGATTAAACCGTACAGTCATTCTGGCACAAAGGATTGTTTAATTTCAAGAATTCTTTGAAGAAGTAAGTGTTTCCACAACACACTCCATTTTTTCAGCCTGTCACTGTGGGATTACCTCCTTCACACCAAGTAACAGTGACCAGCTCACAGTAAGAAAAAAATAAAAATCAAAGTACAACTTCTTTACCTAGAGTCCCTTTATAACTTAACATCCCTCTTACTACCATGAGAGAACATACAATCATTGAGACTGCATAGGCATAGTAACAAAAAGCTATTGTTAATTTTTATCAAGAATTAAACCCTAAAAATACTTTCACTCATGAGGCTCATGTTCATGCTCACTGCTGTCTTTCTCCACCAACCAGCAGTCTATGACATGCTAATAAATTTTACTTCATCTTACAGGAATATGGGGTGGGGGTGAGAGAGCAGAGTTATCCTAATCTGTATGTCTTGGAACCAGAGCTTTCTTTTGCAGTCCTTTATGCTGCAAGTGCTTCCAAAGACAAAATGCCTCTCCCCCTCTTTTGTGTCTCAATGCCAGCCAAGACAATAAAGCCCCAATTTTATGAGGACTGTGGAGTCTACCATAAACTTCTACTCCTGGTACTATATTCTCTTCCATTCCACCCACACTTTCCTTTTGAATTTAACCAGGATTTGGACCAACAAATCATACTCCATGCAAGACAAAGGGTGGCATTCCTATCTCTGCTGAAAGTGACCAACTGTTTACTATCAACAGAAATGATTGCTTCCTAATCAAGGTCCTGTCAAACCACATTAACTTCACTGAACAAGGCAGATTTAGCTAATCAAAATTGCATCACACAAGTCAGTCATCAGAACAGAAGCTGTTTTTTTCCCCTTTTAACATTCAAAACAGGAATAGCAAAACCACCCAAGAAGGCGGGTGCACGTTCCAGAACCCAGCGACAGATCTGCTCTGCATTCTTCTCAAGGCATTACACCATTTAATTATTTCTTTGATGGGTCCGTTATGTACATTTCTTCAGCCAGAATAAAAATAACTCCACATGCAAATGTAGATACTTTATACAATGTAACACTCAGGTATAAAGAAACTATAAATGTAGATTGCAGAGCAAAATTCTGATTGCCAAAGTCAGATTATGTGAAAACACATGGACAGACCAGAAGCAGATGGATACATCAGCGGCCTTTCAACATATCAGAAGTAATAACGAGCAAAAGGGAAGGCAAAAAAGAAAAATTGAAGATGCTTCTACCAATTATGTTTTCATTTATTTTAATTGAAAGTTTGCAAAGATCACTGGAGGCTGCCGCACCCAGAGATCTTAAGCCTCCACAGTCAGCACGATCAGCTGAATATGCACTTTTTAAAAATCAACTGGTCTTATTCCCCCCCCCCCCCACCCCCCCATTATCCATGGCTAGTGCAAAAACCTAGCAGAGAAACCACTAAAAATGTCAGTGAAATGTACCTGAAGCCTCTGGCCTCATTGTGCTGAACACACGAAATACTATGCTCAACACTTGCGCACTAAGAAAAAAAATATATACATTACGGTCATCACAGGATTTCCATACTATAGGACAAATGATATAATGGAAAACATGACCAATGAACAAAATGCTGGTGTTTTGTGGTTTTCCTTTATGGATTCTGTTTTCTTGTATTTGTTGACAACAACATTTTACACTCAAAATGCTACTGACTTATATTGTATGTATGGCATACAGTACAGTATTGTATTCCATATGAAGGACAGACAGAACTATTTCACTTTAATATTCTGGTGACAAAATCCACACATCACTGTCCTTTTTCAATGTATCAAAAGCTACTTGATGGTATTCCAAGTCCTTTATTACATGATTCCTTATGATTTAGTGCCTAGATGGCGAAGTTGGTGGCACAAATTCCCACAAGCCAAAATGCTGATTTAAATTACAGATCGGTACATTGTTTCATGGCACAATGCAGCACTTTGTACACTATCCTTCCAGCAGCGTCATCAGGTTCTGGGTGTCTGCCTGCTAGAAATGAGATACTACGCCATCTGTACAATTTAGCTAACAAATTAAAAAAAAAGGTTTTTGGGGGGCGGGGGGGGGGTATCACAACAAAGTAATAACACCAGTGTCCTGGCACCGTTTCTCACTTAATGTATCAGTTTCTAATTCTCAAGAATGTGTTTGAAGGCCAGTATTCAACATAAGACACTTTTAGTGCCAGCATCTTTGTTGCTGAGTATTAGTTCTTGTTAAAAACCTGGTTTTCCCAGAGAAAAGTATCTCCCCTTCGCCCCCTCCCCAATATCCACAGGCTTCCCTCTTAGCTCTCTGCCAGAACACAAGACATCTGCCTTGAGCAAGTCAGCATCCCATACCGTGAAACATGCCGCTGCTCCTCGTGAACTTCCCCACCGACCTGAACGGAAGCTGGTCAAGGTACTAAATTCTTTGCCCTTCTGAAGGGCCTGAAAAGAGCAGTAATTGTCAGTATGGATGCTGGGTTGCTAAGAAATATGTAAGGACCACCACGTCTCCCTCCCCCAAGAGCAATGAACAGCTGTCAGGTGGTAACAAGTTTTAGTCATCCCTAACTTGAGGCAGGCCTGAACCATGACCTGTAGGTGAAAGGCTCTAGATCCCATTACCAAGCACCGGGGTCACAGTCTCAGTGTTTCACTCACCACACATAAATATACTTTGGTGCATCCTAAGTGAGAAGCACCCAGAAAAACAAAACTGCTTGCCTCTAGCGTTCATTTGCAAAACACTGATGCACCCTCCAATGACGTAAGAGTGAAACTGTATGTTTTCATCGGCACAATTTCTGACATATTTTCTTCCACCAACTTACCAACGATTTCAAAGTTACTGGGTCATTCAGCTCCTGTGCTCATTTCCACCGTGAATGTCACTGTCTTACCTACACCTTTCCCACAATTAGCATTAAAAATTTATGTGGCGTACATTAACATAAAGAACTCTGGAATCCACCACCGGGAACTGCAGTCCCTTCCACTCTGAGTAGTCTCAGGAGTTAAGTTTGACCTCTGCTACACTAAGAGATCAATCCTAAATGAAGCCATGAGTGATAGCCAAAAATCACCGCTTGTTAGTTTACTGTCCAGTTGCTCAAAAGGCATGTAATATTTATTTTTCAGAATATCTTACAATGTTCCATTTCAGGTTACTGGAATTGCATCATATAGCCTGAGGTTTTGTTATTTTTTTCGGACATGAACACTACCTCTATTAACCATTCAATAGTTACCTTGTGCACAACTGTGCAACAAGTAGCTTAGTAGAAAGCAAGCTCTCTCTAAAAAAGAACATTCCTGAGAGCCAAACACCTGGAATAAAAATGTTTGCCTACCCGTGTGGAGGTCAGACTTTGAGAAACCAAAGATTTCCAGAATACCTACTGGCTTTGGAGCCCAAGTTCTTCTGTGACAAGCTTAAGGTGCGTGAACGGAGCAAAATTTTCCGGAGAACCTTCCTTCTGAAGACTATGGGCCTTAAGGTGTTTCCACTTCAGCACTTGTAGGGGGAGCTTTTTCATTTTTCCAGGACTGTAAATGTGTAGCTTTAGAGCAATCCAGCCCAACCTTTTGACAGTGACAACT